ATGTACAATATAATTAATCAGAATTATCACTACAAATCCACCAGTATAATGAATATATCCTAATAAAAATTATTTTAAAAAGATATTCCTATTACCACTGTAAATAAGTTCACTTTTAAATGGGAACATTCCTCATATTTAAAACCAACATTGTATTATAAACAATGTGACTTGGAATATGATGCAAAACATATTTGTTTAAGTTCCTCTGCTGATTATTTGGGTTTTTTCTCTAATTATTTGTGATTATAAAGCACTTAAGTGTGTGTCTAAGAAGGCATAATCCATTGCACTAATTGTAATAGTTTTATTGCATCATAATGGATCATTTCAAAGATTTCATTCTCATATTACTAGATTCAATTAACAGTATTTACAGACAAAAATCAATTATTTTAATATTAGCAACTACATTTATTAGCTATAGTCCAGAACTTGGTAGTTAGCTGTGTTACCGTCAGTATTTTCATTTTTCATGATACTTGTTTGGAGGACTCTGTGATTAAATATAAAAAGTATACACAAAGTAACCACTGACTAAGAATATACATCATTATAACCACCATCAACATCTTTTCCAAGATCAATACCATTCCAATAAATTATTTGGAATTCAAGTTTCCTGTAACCCTGGATGTCTAACAGACTATTATATTATTGTGTTTGTATCATAAGTCCTTGAAAAGGTCAAGAGCAGTAAATGACTATCATTCATCTATATACCAAAACATACCACAGATACAGCAATGAATAGCACATCTGTGCTTGCATGTCATTCAATAAATTATTCATCATCTCCTAAAGAGCAGTGGGGACTATTTGTCATCCATGCATCCTTTCTCTGTGGACCCCTTGTATTAGCCATAACGATGTGTAAGAAGTGCTGAGAGAAGAAATATATATGTATGTTAATATTATCAGGAATGCTCAGTACAATAGCATTTTCTCTAATTTAAAAAAAGATTAACTCATATAATAAATGATCATCTATGGATGTTCTTCAAATAATAAAGGGATTTTAAAAAGGAGGTAAACATGTCTGCATGTCTAAAAATTAGAATGTGAGAATTTGGTGTGCCGTATGTTTATATACGGACATACTTCATGTGATAGTGATAGAAAATTGGTAAAATAATAAAACAGTCAGTCATCCATGATCTTACAAAAGTGTAAATGCCTTAGTTTTTATGCCTTTGCTCTTCTTGTTGACAGTGTTCCTATTACCTCATTACTTTTGTCTACTATGAAATGTCTGCAATTTTATATTACAATTTGTTCCTGACCAAGCATTCTAAAAGTTCTCAAAATCAAGCCTATCTACAATTATACTCCACACACTTTAATTTGATTATTTGTTCTTCCCCAATCTTTCTTGCTTTATAGCTGCGATGGAAGACAGCTGCAATGTTGTGAGCTTGCTCATGAGATAATCAAGAGTCAAGGTCTAAGGAAGTCTCCTATACAGTATTCTGGAAGGAAATTAACTCTGTCAATGGCCATGTGAGCAAGTGTAGAAGTAGAGAACGCATCCAACAGATTCTCCACCAACAGTAGAGACTTGAGCAGGCAGCATGCCTGGCTAACCCCTTGATTGCAGCCAAGTGTCACACTGAATCATTTAAAGGAACTAGCAAATTGCAAATAAATCTATAAAATTCAGTACTTACCTAATATTCCACTGTGGTTCAATATGAAAGAAAAATTAAAATTTGACTATCATGTAAATATGCAAAAAAAGAATTAATAGTCAACATATCCTGAAAACAAAGGCTATCAAAAGGAAAATGGCTGCTGGAGACAACGTAAAAAAATGGAAATGATATGTCGTATTTGCTATAGAATTCCTAGTTCTCCCTAAATTATATGATTTAAAAAACAGATGCAGATATCAAAGTCTCAGAGTCAAACATTAGATTTTTTAAAGTTGCATTTTATGGTAAGATCCTTGAAATCAGAAGCCAGAAGTTAGAAGTATTCATGAGCTTTCTGTTGAGAATAGGGAGGTCCAAGACCCTCCCAAGTGCATTTGTGTTTGTATTATTCTCCATCAATTATTTTATCAAGTCCTGAAGATTTGGATACCTTGGAGAATCTGGCTAATTGCGAGCTTTGTGAATTGTGCTCTCAAGACAATACAAGAATATAGTATCAGTCTGTTTCTCTAGCCATTTCCTTGCTTGTCCAGTGGTCTACATCCCATTGTCTTCTTTCTGAGTCATCATCTGACTCTAGATGTCCATGTGTGAACCTGTCTTCGTGCCAGTTCTGACAGCAAAACCTCTGCCCTTATCACACATCAATCATGGAAAGGCAAGTGGACCCAGACCCACTGGTCATGAGCCAGCTAAAATATAGAGAAGCTCCGTAAGTTCTCGTGAGACAGTGGTTGGAAGAGGGACTACCGGGGGCAGTATTCCTTACCATCTGTTCAAACATGAGCGTTGGTGTAACCAGACTGAAAAGATTACAACTGGTAGATTCATCTCAGAGTCTTATAAAGTTCATGTTCTTGGTTCTCAGGAAGGAGGGAGGACATTCTAATACCCTTGCTTTCCGGTGACACTGGTTCCAGGTCTCATAGGCATCGGTCCCACAAAAGCAGGAAATTTGTCTCACTTTATAATTGTGTACTTAGCCCGCAAAAGAATCATGAAACTGAATATGATGATAACGATGACAACAAAGACACTAACCACACCATCATGAACCTATACTTAGGGCTAACCATGCCAGCTTCTGAGCTAAGATTTTTTAAATGTAGCTTAGTGACTTTTGCCTGTATAGCTACCCTCTAAAAGTGTAGTATAAAATGTACTCATTTTGGAGTTAAGGAGAGGTTCATAGAATTTTAGTGTAATTTGTGCCAGATCTTGTGACATGAGATTTAAATCAGTAAGTGATAGTCCAATCAGAGGACACCTGGGCTCTGATGGTTTTTTTGTCAACTTTAATATGACAATTATCTTCCTTGTCACTCCAAGAAGGAGCCTCTGCCCACTGTGCTCTGCCCTTTGCATGTCTGGTAGACCACAGTGTGTTTCCCTTGCTTCATCAGCAATAAAAAGAATAGCAGATATCCCAGGCAGGAACCACAAAAAGCATTAGCACATGATAAATCAAAGAATATCCCTCTTGCCTCTGCTTTTGGATTTTGTTTTAATTGTTCACTTTCCCCTTGATTCTGATTATTCTTCTCCTCTTCATTTCTAATGGAGGAATGGAGACAGTGTGTTTGTTTTTAGTCAGGAAAATGAAATGGTTAGCAGATTTAAAACAAGCTTCTGAAATTTTGCTTCAACTCTGAAATTCAGAAAAAGACTAAACAAGTTCTATCATATAAGAGAATAAACATCATTAAACTTTTGTTCAGCAACCTTCTACTTCAATATTAATTCAAACTCAGATTAAGAAACATGACTAAATATTTATCAAAAATTAAGCCCCATATTACCTAAAATGGGTGTTTATCCCACCATTTCTAGATAATGGATACTAGCACAGAAAGATTTAGAAATTTACACAAATTCTGCATGTAGTCAGTGAAGGAACTCAGTTTGGATAAATGTTCTCTGACTCCTGTCCTAGGGTTCTTTCTTCTACACAAGAGTACAGTGATTCCATTTGTTCAACGTGTTTCAATGCCAGAAGAAATCAGAGGCAAAACCACGGATTTCATCTGTTGAGATTTGGTGAATTCACCTGTGAATTAGTGGAATGGACCAACTGGCTTAAGAGAATTTTTATCACATGTGTATTACTGATAATAATATTTTCAATGAATGGTAATGTATTTTCATTCCATTTGGGAAACGTGAAAGGGAAATATTTTTCTTGACTCAAGATAGTAGTTTTTATCCATACATACCATGAAAGGACCATTTCCAGAAAGCCTGTCAAGGATAACAGCATGTAGTTGGTTGGTGTGTCCAGTGGGAAAACAGTTGTTATAGGACATTAACAGTGAAATATAATGTGTGCCAATTTATAAAATTTAAATAATTGTTGCTCATGTTTGCATCTCATAGAAATTCTCACTTGAGTGATATGTAGGAAAGAACAAGGACTTCTCTAGGACTGTGCAATAAAAAATTGAAAATAAAATGAAGTTCATTCAGATGGGAGTATGCATCATTTAAACTGCTCAAAGCAAATATGTGTGTTACCCAGTGAGGCTCAACACAGCATTGCACCAAATGAATATTTATTAGAAAATGATAGTTATAAAATATTTAGGTCAGTTTTCTCAAAAATAATTTATAGATACATAAATCAATACTAATAATATGGAATTTTTGATGTGAAATATAACCACCAAATTGATGACTTTATTTGTCTTTGGGCAAAGGAAATGTAGTAATAGGGATCATGCAGAAGTAGAAACTATATCTTAGCATCATTAATAAACAAGAATTCCAAAGTATCATTAACTATCTTTAATAATTGTAAAATAACAGGTAACATTAATGGAACATTCTCTTACTGCTTAGCAATAGCTCTCTCTGTTAGTATGCGAAAAGGACTTATTTGCAGAGATTCTTATTTAACCCTTTTGAGACTATGATCAGAGCATGAGTAAATTCAAACTGGCCAACAAGGGTTATAATGATCAAGAAGCATTTGTCTGAGTCTTACTGTCCTTTAATTAGAAATTTGTTTTTCTTAAAGAAAGGATATTGATTTATATATATTTCTCCTATAAAAAGCAAAGGCTGGTATTTAGGTTGCTCGTGGATTTGTTATCTTATAATTCCCTTTCTTCTCTGGCATTTTGTGGCCCTATGTCTCTAAAATGGGTGAAAACAGAAATATATTCCAATACACCGATAAAGAAAAATTCACAATTGTGAAATATTTCCAAAGGTACTGGTGTGTATTGTGCTCATGTGCAAATATTTTATTGGTGATTTTTCAGATTCCAAAATATGGACACTTATCAGGGTGGCTCTATACTTCTTCTCTTTATTCACATACCCCTCTTTTTAACCAGGTATCCCATCTACATGGAACCAAAGAATCTGACATGTATCTGGGAATTCTTCTTACTGGGCCTCTCAGAGGATGTTGAACTGCAGCCAATCTTCTTTGGACTGTTTCTGACCATGTACTTGGTCACAGTGCTTGGGAACCTGCTGATCATCCTGACCATCAGTGCTGATTCCCCCCTCCACACCCCCATGTACTTCTTCCTCTTCAACTTGTCCTTGGCTGATATTGGATTTATCACTACAGTCCCCAAAATGCTGGTGAACATCCATACACATAGCAAATCCAGGTTGCCTAACTCAGGTGTTCTTTTTTATTCTTTTTGGGTGTTTGGACAGTCTACTGCTGACCATGATGGCCTATGACCGCTTGGTGGCCATCTGTCACCCTCTACACTACCCTAATATCATGAGCACCTGCCTCTGTGGCTTGTTGGTTCTGGTGTCATTGTTCATTAGCCTTCTGGATTCCCAGGGGCACTGTTTAATGGTGTCACAGCTCACTTTTTGCACAACTGTGGCAATTCCTCATTTCTTTTGTGACACACCTATGCTTGTCAATCTTGGCCATACAGACACTTATAGTAATAATGTGTCAGTCTATATTATTGGTGTCATCTTTGCTGGCATTCCAGTCACAGGGATCCTGAACTCATATACTCGAATTGTTTCCTCCCTTTTGAGAGTTCCTTCAGTAAGTGGGAAGAATAAAGCCTTCTCCACCTGTGGCTCTCACCTGTCAGTTGTTTGCTTATTTTATGGAACTGGCCTTGGAGTGTACCTCAGCTCAGCTGTCTCTCATTCCTCCAGGATTGGTGCAGTGGCCTCGGTAATGTACATCATAGTCACCCCCATGCTGAACCCCTTCATCTATAGCCTGAGGAACAGGGATATCAGGAATGCCCTTTTGAGGATTTACAGCAGAACTACCTAATATCTTGAACATTTTCATGTCTTAAATTAGTTGTACAGGGAGTGCCATGTGGTAATGTTCTTTTTTATGCAAATATATAAAGTACACCCATCATATTCACCCTCTTTGCCCTTTCCATTCACCCTCCCACTCCCAAGTGAGCCCTTCCCCTACTAGGTTCTGTTTCATGTCACTGTCCTTCATTATTGAAGTGTATATTCTTTGTTCGAAGGGATTCGTCCATGGTATTGCACATGTGAGTATATTGTGCTATAATTAGTCTAATTCCACTACCACTCATCTATCCTTTTCGCCAACATGCCATCGATCAATAGCTTTCAATGTGCTTTACTATTACTTCTTCCTATATAGAGCCAATGTATTTCAATTTTATTCATTCTCTGTTATTCTCTTTCCCCTGCTTTCTCCTTCTACTTTCCTTAAGCACGCTCACTTTTGCAAACATAGTCTATGTATAAATAAGTATGTGTGATTATGTTTGTATTTGTGTATACAGTTGTTTTTGACCTATTTCCACAAATGAGACAAAACATGTAACATTCTGGCTTACTTTGCTTAACATGATGATCTCCACTTCCATCCTTTTGCTTGAAAATAAAATAATTTCATTCTTCTTTATGGGTGAGTAACATTCCATTGTATGTAGATAGATAAACGATAAACAGATAAATACAGATATAGGTATAGAGGTCACAATTTTCTTAATTCATTCACAATTGTAAGGCATCTAGGCTGTTTCTGTAGCTTGGCTATTGTGAATAGTGTTGCAATAAACATAGGTGTGCAGGGGTCTTTATTTTATGCTGACTGTATTCCTTCTGATATGTTCCCAAGAGTGGTATTGCTGGATTGGATAGACTTCTGTTTTTAATTTTTTGAGGAAACTCCACATTGCTTTTTTACAGTGATTGTACTAATTTACATTGCATCTTCACTAGAATCTGTTATTTGTGTTATTGATGACAGCCATTCTGACTGGAGTGAGTGAAATTTCAATTTCATTTTTATTTATATCTCCTTTATGACCAGGAACATTGAGCATTTTTTCACATATTTCTTTCTTTGAAAAATTCCTAGAACTTCCCTGGTTTTAATGCATTTGCTATCCCATTTTGTTTGCAGGACTTAGAGAAGACAAGAAAATGAAACATAGGCAGTAAGAAATACTGAGACTGCAGACACAATGTATGTGTACTATAACAGGTTTAGGTTCATTCAATTTTTCTCTTATTGTGGGTCTAATTTAATGGCAAGATCATTACAAACTCTCCATTTATATTATTTTCACTCAGGTTTATGTACAGTAACTGACACATGATATCAGCATATTATTCTTTTTTTTTTATTATCCATCACACACATCTCTTAATCATGAATAAGGACTACAACCACCCAACTTCAGAGTCTAAACAACAGATCCACCAAGACACAGATCCCACTCCAAGACTTGAACAACATAAGGAGGTGAGACTCAGCCATGCATTTCTATAGAATACCACCTCTGTCTCATCTGTCATGAGGTTCTGGTTTAACCTTAGAGTCAGCCTGCAGCCCTGTCCAATTTCAGGATATGAATATTGGTACTGTCTCACCAAGGAATACACTCTGCATTCCTAAGCTGTCGGAGGTGAACATGGTGCCATTGCACCAGCTCCGACTGACTACAGTGGAAAGTCAGTATTCTCCTAAGCATCAGAGTACATCCAGCAGACTTATCACATCACAAATCAAAGTCAATAAGCCAGGAAAGTAACTATCGTAACACCAAAGTCTGCCTGCCTATAGTTGATGCCATCTGTCCCATCTATAATCACAGGATTGACCAAACAGTTAAAGTCTATCCTTGCTAAAGAACATCTGCAAAGTCTGGATGTCATGACTTTCTCCTCAAATGCAATAAACTATCAAAAAGACAAGGTTTAGAAATCATCAGAGAATCATGACACCACTAAGGAAAACTAATATAACTTCAATAATGGAACCTATTGAAAAAGAGATCTGTGAAATGCTAGAAGAAAGAATTCAGGATAGTGCTCTTAAGAACAAAATCCATGAATATACAGATATAAATTAAACACTATTTGTAAACAAGATACGAACAGAACAATAACACAAACAAAAAACAAAAAAATCATGAATTTTGTCAAAGAAACAAGAAAAGTTCCAGAAGAAGCAAGATATAGAATACATATTACATACAAGGAAGTCTCTATAGCACTACAGTAGATACTCAGGTGAAACCCTGCAAGTCAGGAGAAAGTAGAAGGATATATTCAAAGTTCTCAAAGAAATAAAAATGTCATCTGAGCATTCCTTACCTGGCAAAACTTTCTTTCATAAATGAGAAAGAAAAAAATCAGGCAAGCAAAAGCTAAAGGCATACATGTCTTCCTTGAAGCAATTACTGAAAAGAGTACATTAAGCTGAAATGAAAGCCTGCTAAAGAAGAACAAAAGCATCTAAAATCAGAAGACCCAAAAGTAAAGCTAAGAAGGAGTCACAAAGTACTCCAGGACCATAAAATTGGTGTACAAAAGAACTTCATCTCAGGTATAAGGGAGAAAGAAAACTATCAAAAGTAATTATAACTGAAATAAATTGCTAAGGAATACAAATTACAAGAAGATGCAAATTTTTCATTAAAATAAATGTGCATGGGATGGGCGTAATGTAGACTTACATGATCAAAATGACTTCCTCACAGTCTTAAAAGAAAATGTTTTAAGTATTAGATATTTTATACATGTATCATGGTAAACACAAAGCAAAAACTATAGTACAGAAACTATTGCAGAAAATGTCAAAAGAAAGAATTCAAAGGACACAATTATGCGAAACCATCAAAACAAAAAAGTAAAGTAAAACAATGAACAAATAAATTCAAAATGGCAAAACTAAGTCTGAAAATAAAACCAAAGCCCAACTCTGTGCCTAAGATAGAATTAACTCACTTTTTTGGCAGTTCTAGGGATCAAACCCTAAAGTCTGAACATGAAAGGCAGATGCTCTGCCACAAAGTACATCCCCAGACATCATCTCACTTTTAATAACAAATTTAAATTTTTGTTTGTCAATAGAAATGAATGAATTTAAAGTAAAAATCACCTTTTAAGAGAATATGAAAACTACACAAATGAAATTTTGAAATCTTTAAATTTTTATTACCACGTTACTTGTAGAAAATAATTTCAGTATTACATTCATATCCATACATACGATATACTCTGATCACATTCACCCAATCTGTTGGTTTTTCTTATCTCCCCCTCCTCCATTCTTTCTTCTTCCACATATCAAAAGTCTCTCTTTTACTTCCGTTGTGCTTCTCCTAAGATTATAAACATGAATGAGCATATATTTGTCTCTGTGATACTGACTTATTTACTTAATATTGTGTTCTCCAGTTCTATCTACTTTCCTGAAAATGTCATAATTTCATTCTTAGTAATCACAGGATAATACTTAATAATATTTTTTCAAGGATATCCACTGGAAGGTGATTTAGATTATTTGGGGTATATACCCAGAAGTGGTATATTAACAAACCAGGTTCAAAATACATTGAAAATATTATGCATCATGAACAAGGAATGGAAGGATCATTTCACTTGTGCAAATTGATAAATGCCATACAACAGGCAAAAGAACCAAGGACAGGAAACACATAGTCATCTCAGTAGATGCAGAATAAAACTTTAACAAAATCCATTATCCCTTTATTATAAAATCCTTGAAGAAACTAGAAAATGAACAATCATACCTCAACATAATAAAGGTTATATATGACATACATATAACCAACATTATACTGAATGAGAAAAAACTGAAAGCATTTCTTCTACAATTAAGAACAAGACAAGGTCTTATCAACACTATCACTCAATTTCATACTTGAAACATTAGCCACTACAATAAGATAATTTCAAGAAATAAAATGGTTCCAAAATAAAGTAGGAAGTCAAATTATCTTCTTTGAAGATAATATCTAAAATTTGATGTTTCTGATGGACATCTGTGGCTCACACCTTTAATGCTAGCTACTCAGGAAGCAGAGATCGGGTGAATCATGGTTCGAGGCCAGCCCAAACCAAAAAAAGTGAGACCCTCTCTGAAAAATACTCAACACAAAAATTTGTTGGCAGAGCAGCTCAAGTGGTAGAGTGTCTGCATCGCAAGTGTGAGGCCCTGAATTCAAACCCTAGTACCACAGAAATGATGTTTGTAAAGTGTTTTAGCAATACCTCACCTGTACAAAAATGCAATTACATTTTTCATAATCCAGTTGTGAATCCAGAAGAAAGTAGAAAAGTCTACAATCTGACAAGTCGATGTTAAATAAAATATCATTTTGCTAAACATAAAGCATTTCATACCACCAGGCAGCCTGTTTGATTCTTTCTCAGAGAAATTGCTTTTATTTTATACACAATTACATCAAACTTTGTGTCTAATTTCAAGTTCAAGATTAGAAGCATCCAATGAAAAGGTTTTAATGAAAGCACAGGGATCTGTCACATGTGGTCACCATGGTAAAGAGAAGGGAAATTCACCCGGACCTTAACCAGAAGCAAAACAACTAGAAAATGCAAAAGTGCACAAAGACTTAGGCACTTAGCATAGAGAAAACAATGTCACGTATCTCAAAAGACCTTGCAAATACTTCTGATCAAATAACTCATAGAACAATAAAGTAAGTCATGAATGTTAATGTTTAGCCATGCTGTACAGAATGTTAAGGTCACTGGGCCAGTACACTAAACAATAATGCACCACAAATTGTTAATGCTTCTCCTAAAAATTTAAATGCATTTCAGTTTTAGGATACAAATTGTGTTAATTTATCTTATGAATATATATAACTCAATCCAATATAAATAAAAATATGTTTGAGAATTTTTAATTCTAGTTGCAAATGGTAGTTTGTGGATTAGGGGAAATGGTTGAGGAGAAGAAATGTACATTGTCAAACTAGATAAAGAAGTAGACAATTTTAGAATGAT